TTCAAAAATTTTCTATAAAAAGGGGGCTTCACACGAAATTTTCATTTCTTCACCCCTATCCAAGGTTCTCAAAGGTTCTAAGGCCAAAAACTACCATTTCTCTCATACTAAACCTTCCTAAACTTAGATTTCTCGCCAGATCTGAGATCCTACGTCTATTCTGAAGGATTTGAAGAGAAACTCCGTTCTAAAGCCGAATCTTCGGTGAATCTTGCATTAAAACAAGTAATATTCGGTAGATCTAGTGTGAATCATCTTTCTAAGGTAAGGGGAGTTTACTTTAACCTATGAACTACGTTTTGAATGGTTTAATATGCTATTTTAAGATGTTTTGATATGATTTTTGTTAGATCTATTGAATAAAAGGTATTTTCTAGCTATAACTGCTGTTAATTGATTTAAAATGCTGAGATTTTGGCTGATCTATATTAAACTTGCCTTAGCTGAGCTGTTAAAATAATTTTGGCGGTGTGCATCATGCTGAGATATATGTTTTGCATCATTATAGAGCCGAGTTACATGTTTAGGTGGGTAGATGTGTAACGGTAAGTTTATGCTGAGCTGCTGTGCTGTGCTGTCTGGATCCAGATACCGGAATGGGTCGCTCCCGGACCGGCTCGGTTCCTTCTGGATTACTTAGGCTGTGAAACCAGTTGGAAACCGTTTTCATGCTGTGCATTAGATGGGCTGGAAATGCATGGGATTATTGCTGTGAGAAATATTTTGCTCTATATATATGATTTTATTTTAAGTTTGGTAAGCTCACCCTTGCATTTCTTTCTATGTCGTTGTGTGCGTGTGTACTGCGATGATCGTACGGTGGTACGTGAGCAGATGTAGCAGGTGTTGCATCTACTTCACAGGCTGCGGGGCCAGTGGAGAAATGATAGAAGCTGAAGTTGAGTAATATTGCATCTAAGTTCTTTTTCCTTATATTTTAAGACCTCATGTAGAGGGAGCTACGTAGTATAATTTTGGGTATTTTTGAATATTATGAACTAAATGTAATATTATGTTGTTCTGTTGGATATTTGTTGTAAGAAACTCTGTTTTATTTTGAATGAGAAGAGAATTTCATACTTATATTCTCTATACTTTATTTATTTTAAATAAGTTTGTGATGTAGAAACAATGTTCTCGGTTTCTTATAAAAGGGGTCGTGACAGTTGTGATGGAGATTGTATGATTAACTATAATAGGATTAAATATGTGTACACATACCATTTAAGGAAAACGAATACCATGATGTGATTGGGAATGTGAATAAATGTGTATGGAAATGGCATGAAAATATGAGTTTAATTGTGGTTGTGTTTGAATGTTGAAAACTATGACTGGTTACAGTGATACACTGGGGTGTGGAAAATGAGAGTGGTAGAAATACCTTGGGGAAGAGAGGGTGCTGGTGACACCAACAATAAGCGTGGGTGTACCACATGTCACACATTCTCCTCTTGACTCGGCCTCTAACTACCACCTTTGTTAAGAGTCCCGTGATCACACATGTTGTATACGTGAGGCAGGGGCTAACCGGCGACCATCCATGGTGTGAAATTGAGTAAATCCCTGAAGTTGAGGGCATCAAGAAATTGTGATCACAGTGTCATAGTGAGCGTAGCTAGTGTAATGAGCAAATGTGTGTGTTGATTATTTGATGGTGTAGTGAGCGTACCTGTATGTGAATTGGAATGGAATATTGAAAATTATTACTGTGTGTCTATTGATGCTTGATATGAATTATGTTAGTAAACATGTGAAATATGCAAGGTAAGTCTCTGTGCTTGTGTGTGATAGAGTAGAGTACTCACCCTTACGTTTATTTTTCAGGTGACCAAAACGATCAGCATCACGCTCAGTGAAAGGATGGATGAAACTGCTATAGGACTTAGGAAATTATTCTTTTGAAATTATAATGTATTAATTAAGTCCTATAGTAATAATTTGATTCAAACTTGTAATTCATCCTTCTTTTGAAGTACTTTAATGAAACCATGTGTTAGGAACTATTTCAATGAAATTTTATTATTCCCATTTATTGCAAAATTAATTATTTTATAAAATAAATTAAGGTGTTACACGACCCATCCCATTATCTGGATCCAGATATACAGCACAGCTCAGCTCAGCTCAGCTCGGCATGTTTTCTAACCGTTACATGCCTACGCCTCTTTTATATATATATATGCACACACACTTTCATTCAGCCTTAGTAGCACAGCCATAAATATATTCTCACAATAAAACCAAATCAAATATTTTAGCGTATATTAAACATCCTCAACACATATATCACAATTTCTCAGCATGTCATGCTCTACCATAGTATTCCAAACATTCATCAAACAACAGAAAATTCACTCAGTCATACATACCCTGGGTTCTAACCTAAGGTTTGTTCATATATCAACCCACTCTCAATTAGAATAAGATTCACATATGATACTTCAGCAGCCAAAGAACAATAAAAGTCATCTAAGATAAGCTTCCCTTACCTGGAATGGGTTTCCTTAGATCAAACATCACGTGAGTTCCAAAGAAAGAAACAATGCTCGAGGGCTCAGATCTCCTCACTAGATCCGTACTAAATGGAGGTTTTCACTTAGATCAGGAAGTAGTTTGACTTTGTGAAGGTTTTCTCTAAGGGATAAAGGTGAGAGAACAGAGAGAAAAGGAGAGAGAAACATTGTCTGGTGAGAAAAATGAAGGTTTTTCTGCGCTGAGGTTCCTTAAACACCTTTCCAGGTCTGTGCGCTCTCACTTATACGAGCCCTGCTCTCACCTGGGTGAGCTCATCCTCGCTGATAAATGTTTTCTATACTTGATCCTACATTGTAATTCGTGAATGATAATTGAGAGTTTTAAGCTATTCATTGATAAAATTTACTATTATTAATTTCATTTTATTTATATTTCAGGAAAAAGGATCAAGAAGTGAAAGCTTTAAAAGATATTGGGAATTGAACCACATAATGAAGTCAGAGATATACACGGTCAAGTACATGCCCGTGTATATGAACGTGTATCTCACTGGTCACGTCAATTGAAGTGTATCATCAAAACCAGAGATGTACACGGCCAAAGTACATGGCCGTGTACATGGGCGTGTACTTTTCAAGAAAGCTGTGAAGTGCAATTATTAGAGACCAGAGATGTACACGGCCAAAGTATATGGCCGTGTACTTGGGCGTGTACTTTTAATGTGCATCAGAATTTAAATTTTTGCAAGAAGATGAGCCCTTGGGCCACTCATATAAAAGGGAATGTGGCACAGAAACCTAAGGGAGGCAGTTTTTGAAGACGAAAGACTCAGAGACGGCAAGAGGATAGGATCAAGCGTTTTAATTCATCTCTCTTGTAATTTTACTTTCAAGATGTTTAGGTTCTAACTTTCCTTTGAGTATCTAGATGTAATGAATCTTAATTGACTAAATTTTCTGGAATTCTTCTAATGTTATTTTATGTTCTTTTCTCTTGGGTTTAATTTAGTAGTATCAATTTGCTTCTATCTTGTTTTCTTGTTTGAATTTGAGTAAAATTCCTGCATGAAATTAACATTGCTCAATTAAAAAGACTTGAATGTATTTCTAGAGATAGAAAGACATGAGTTTCTGTATTAGGATTAATCCTAATTATGGAATTCATAATGAACTTAATGCAACCTAGGGGTATTAATTAAGGAAGAGATTTCGATTAATCAACTGAGGGTTAGGAATCATTATCCTTGAGAAAGGTATTGATTTAAATTAGAATTTCCTGCAGCGATAAGGGTTTGGAACTAAGTAGTTGAAGAAGAATTTCAGTTATTTGGACACTTAGGGGGATTTACAGTCTAGATACTTGCCTTTTTCCTTTGAATACCTTTAGTTATAATTTTCTATAATTTATTTTCACAAGAATATCTGTTTCTTTTAAATTATTATTCTTTTACTTTTAGCAATTTCATCAACAAAGTTTATTTTTCATATTTATTAACAATTACGCAATTAAGGAAAAATTTCTTAATAACAGTCCCTGTGGATACGACACTTGGTACTTTAATTTTAATAATATTACTCCGACAACGGGTACACTTGACCAGTAATTCAATTTTTACGCACTAAGTTTTTGGCGCCGTTGCCGGGGACTGTTTAATTAGGATTCCCTTGATTTCGTATTTACTAATTTTATCTATTTCTTTAGTCTTGAATTAACTTATCTATTTTACTTTCATTCTTTTTAGGAGCTGATTTTTCTAGTGTATGATCAGAACCCGTTCTACTGCACTGACTGAAGAACTATTTGAATTTGACCCAGAGATCGAAAGAACTTTGCAAAAAATTCGAAAAAAGAGGCGACTGCTAGCACAGAGAGAAAACACACAAACCCACATGGAAGGAATGGCAAACAACAAAGATCAACCAAAGACCATGTCTGATTATGCTCGTCCATCATTAACTGGAACAGAGTCTAGCATTGTCCGTCCGGATGTACAAGGAAATTTTGAAATAAAGCCCAATGTCATTCAGATGGTTCAACAATTTATCCAGTTTGATGGGTTGCAAGACGAAGACCCCAATGCTCACATTGCAAATTTTCCAGAAATTTGTGATACTTTCAACATCAATGGAGCTACTGATGATGCAATCCGCTTGAGGCTATTCCCATTTTCTCTTAGGAGTAGAGCAAAGCAATGGTTGAATCCTCTCCCACGAGGATCTATTACTTCATGGGAGGCTATGGCAGAAAAATTCTTGGCGAAATATTTTCCCCCCACTAAACCTGCCAAGATAAGGAATGATATCTCTTCCTTCTACCAGTTTGAGACAGAGACGTTATACGATACGTGGGAGAGGTTTAAGGAATTGCTGCGGAAGTGCCCACATCATGGGATTCCTGACTGGCTTCAAGTGCAAACCTTCTACAATGGGTTAAACCCTGCCATAAGACAAATGATAGATGCTGCAGCTGGGGGCACTTTGAATAGCAAGACACCAAGGGCTGCATAAGAACTGTTTCAAGAAATGGCAATGAACAACTATCAATGGAGCTTAACTCGATCCAAACCTGTAAAATCTGCGGGGATCTATAGTCTTGATGCAATAACATCCTTGGCAATGCAAGTGGAAGCCTTAGGGAAGAAGATTGATGGTCTATCTGTTAACCATCAAGTTGCTCCGGTAATGAGATGTGATATTTGTGGAGGAAACCACCCTAATCATGAGTGTCGAGCTACTCAGGAAGAACATGCCAATGTGATAGGAAACATACCACCTTACCAAAATTATAATGGCATGAATAATCCAGGTTGGAGGAACTATGCAAACCAACCATGGAACAACAACCAACAGCCAATGCGGAACAACACACTCCCAGGATTTCAACAAGCTTCACATCCACCACCACTCCTAGCTAAAAAAAGTCAAACCTTGAGGAGTTGATGACCAAATTCATTCAAACTTCAGAATCTCGGTTCCAATCCACCGAGATAGCACTAAGAAATCAACAAGCCTCTATCCATAATCTAGAAATTCAGTTGGGTCAAATTTCTAGACTCCTCTCAGAAAGACCTCAAGGAAGCTTGTCTAGCCATACTGAGACTAATCCTAGGGAACAAGTCAATGCAGTAACATTAAGGAGTGGCAGAACATTACAAGAGAAGGGGAAGCAAGAAACAGAAAAAAGATGCAGTTGAAGAGGAGGATAAATGTCAAGAGGAGACTGTGGTAAAGCACCCTGTAGTGAAAGAATTCATACCCCAACTTCCCTACCCAACAAGATTGAAGAAAGACAAGGATGATGAACAATTTGGTAAATTTCTATCCTTATTTCGTCAACTTCATATTAATTTACCGTTTGTTGATGCCTTGGCACAAATGCCCAAGTACGCCAAATTTCTGAAGGATCTACTGTCCAACAAGAAGAAATTGGAGGAGTTGGCCACAATAACTCTGAATGAAGAATGCTCAGCAATTCTGCAAAACAAGATGCCAGAAAAATTGAAGGTTCCAGGGAGTTTTACTCTTCCTTGTCTCATTGATAGATTGATAGTTGATAGGGCTTTAGCTGATTTAGGTGCTAGCATTAATTTGATGCCATATTCTGTTTTTAAGAAATTAGGTTTAGGGGAACCTAGGCCAACTAGGATGAGTATTCAACTAGCTGATAGGTCAATTAAATATCCTAGGGGTATCATTGAGGATGTGCTTGTAAAAGTGAACAAATTTATTTTTCCTGTTGATTTTGTGATTCTTGATATGGATGAGGACACTAATGTCTCGTTGATCTTAGGTCATCCATTTTTAGCTACTACAGGGGCTATAATTGATGTGAGGGATGGAAAGTTAATTTTAAGGGTTAGAGATGAAAAAGTCACTTTCAAAATTCCTGATGTAATAAAAAAGTCTTTGAAACAAGATGATTCTTGCTCTTTATTAATGTAATTGATGATTATGTTTCTGATTGTGCATAGGAATTCTTGATTTTAAACCCATTGAAAAGAAGCTTAGTTCATGATAGAGGAAAAAATGATATGAGCTTGGTAACTCAAGAACAGTGGTGTCATTTAGAAGCCACTAAGCCATTATGGAGAAAGAGAGACTTCAAAGATTTGGAATGGAAATCAGAGAAGCAACCCAACCCATCCATTAATGAACCACCAGATGAAAAATTGAAGGTCTACCATCATAAAAAAAATAAAGGGAGGTAAACTATTTCAAAAAGGTGATTTAGTAGCACTGTTGTACAACTCTCGCCTCAAATTATTCCCAGGTAAACTCAAATCCCGTTGGTCTGGACCGTTTACTGTGCATAAGGTATTTTCTTGTGGTATAATTGAATTAACTCATCCAGAGAAAGGAAATTTTAAGGTGAATGGACATAGGCTGAAACTGTACCAGGGGGTCAACTGCAAACTTTTGCAAATGAGGAGTTTAAACTCCTTCATGTTGAATGTTGAATTACATTGAATAGTTTAGGTTAGGAAGGTTTAGTTTATTTTAATTTAGTTATTTATTTTCTCATTTATTTATATTTTGAATAAGCGTCCTCACCCCAGCATGAACCCCATCTCCTTCTGACCACTTTCTTAGTATAGATGATGAAGACTCAGATGATGCTAGTGCAACACTTTAGTCTGCAATTAGGATAGTCTTAGTTATTGAATTATTTTACTTATGTTATTTTTAGGATTTATATTGCTTTTGTCTGTTTACTGCTTCTGTTTCTTTATTGCATTATTTTGATCGTTCTACTTCTCTTGTCATTCTGAACTAAGTTAAATCTCCTTATAAATCAATTTTAATCAGGTTTCCTCTTCAATTGAATCCCAGATTAGCTTTGTTTCCCATGACTCTTTGCTTATTTATTTACTTTTCAAGGAAGTTTTAGTTGCACTTTAATTTTTATATTTGATTGAGGACAATGCAAATCTTACAATGTGGGGTGGATAATTATAGATGTTTGAACTGAATTGTTGTTTTATTCTTGAGCAATATTGAGTCAATTTTATTGTTGCATTAGAGATGATATTCCTGAAAATATAATAAATAAATAAACATCACATGCAGTTATTCTAGTTATTCGAATTGTGTTTTTAATTGTTTCTCGATTGAAGTATCATTAGACTTTTCTGAATTGAGGACCTTGAATCTATGCCAAATTGTTTAAAAATGTTTGAAATTAACAAAACCAGGAAAATCTGAAAAAAATTGGGGTTCTGCTCAAAAATAAAAAAAGAGCATGCCATAGAAACATATCTAGTTAAATGTGGATTGCAGGCAATGTCCGGATACCACATCCTAGAACCCCAAAATTGTTTGAGGTACTGATGTGGAAAGCAAGGGGTGGAATTTCCATTAATACCTTGTGCTAATTGGGATGGAGCATAAAATGCACCCTGTTAGTAGATCATGGCTCAAATTGAAGAGAATTAAACAACACCTTGTGGAAGGATTCAAAGTTTTGAGTTGATTTTTTAAGAACTAATGGTAGAGAGGTCCTTATTCAATTCTGTCTAGAGTTACAAAGGTTGAGAGCAAAAGAAGGCACAATTTGATGTTTAAGAATTACTGTCCCTCAAAAAAATTTGAAAAATAAAATAAAAATAACAATAATAAAAAAATTCAGGAATTTGATTCTTTGTTGTCAAGGGTAAAATTGACTCATTTCTTTGCTTGGGGACAAGCAATCGTTCAAGTTCGGGGGAATTTGATAAATGTTTTCTATACTTGATCCTACATTGTAATTCATGAATGATAATTGAGAGTTTTAAGGTATTCATTGATAAAATTTACTATTATTAATTTCATTTTATTTATATTTTAGGAAAAAGGATCAAGAAGTGAAAGCTTTAAAAGATATTGGGAATTGAAACACATAATAAAGCCAGAGATATACACAGGCAAGTACATGCCCGTGTATATGAGCGTGTATCTCACTGGTCGCGTCAATTGAAGTGTATCATCAAAACTAGAGATGTACACGACCAAAGTACATGGCCATGTACATAGGCGTGTACTTTTCAAGAAAGCTGTGAAGTGCAATTATTAGAGACCAGAGATGTACATGGCCAAAGTACATGGCCGTGTACATGAGCGTGTACTTTTATGGAAAGCTTTGAAGGGCGTCTTTTAGAAACCAGAGATGTACACGGCCAAAGTACATGGTCGTGTACTTGGGCGTGTACTTTTAACGTGCGTCAGAATTTAAATTTTTGCAAGAAGATGAGCCCTTGGGCCACTCATATAAAAGGGAACTTGGCACAGAAACCTAGGGGAGGCAGTTTTTGGAGATGAAAGACTCAGAGACGGCAAGAGGTAGGATCAAGCATTTTAATTCATCTCTTTTGTAATTTTAATTTCAAGATGTTTAGGTTCTAACTTTCCTTTGAGTATCTAGATGTAATAAATCCTAATTGACTAAATTTTCTGGAATTCTTCTAATGCTATTTTATGTTCTTTTCTCTTGGGTTTAATTTAGTAGTATCAATTTGCTTCTATCTTATTTTCTTGTTTGAATTTGAGTAAAATTCCTGCACGAAATTAACATTGCTCAATTAAAAAGACTTGAATGTATTTCTAGAGATAGAAAGATGTGAGTTTTTTGTATTAGGATTAACCCTAATTATGGAATTCATAATAAACATAATGTAACCTAGGGATATTAATTAAGGAAGAGATTTCGATTAATCAACTGAGGGTTAGGAATCATTATCCTTGAGAAAGGTATTGATTTAAATTAGAATTTTCTGCAGCGATAAGGGTTTGGAACTAAGTAGTTGAAGAAGAATTTCAGTTATTTGGACACTTAGGGGGATTTACAGTCTAGATACTTGCCTTTTTCCTTTGAATACCTTTAGTTATAATTTTCTATAATTTATTTTCACAAGAATATCTGTTTCTTTTAAATTATTATTCTTTTACTTTTAGCAATTTCATCAACAAAGTTTATTTTTCATATTTATTAACAATTACGCAATTAAGGAAAAATTTCTTAATAACAGTCCCTGTGGATACGACACTTGGTACTTTAATTTTAATAATATTACTCCGACAACGGGTACACTTGTCCAGTAATTCAATTTTTACACACCACTCGCCTGGACAAGAATACTAGACAATGGAACTACCCAATTTTGTGCTATTCTTGCTTCAGCGAGAGACTTCTCGCCTGAGTGAGTAGCATTCATGCCTGAGTGAGAATGGGTCCATAGAGCTCCACATTTTTCCTGTGACTCCTTGCCTAAGCGATGTCGCTTCTCACCTGAGCGAGATCCCTTCTCGCTTGGATAAGGAGATAGTTGGAGCAATCTTATCTTATCTCACTTAAGCGAGACTGATCTCGCTTGAGCGAGATCACTCTGGAATTGTCAAATCAGCACGAACCAATCTCGCTTGAGCGAGAAACCCTGCACCCAAAACTCTCTATTTTTCAAAGAATGAAGATTTTACAAATTCTCTACTATTTCCCTATGTTTTCACACACATAAATCAATTAATGGTTGATCACAAACCCCTACTGCCAATCACCTCAAACAAAGTAATCACATAACACTGCGAACTTATGGCTCTTTATTGAACTCTACAGCTCACACATATATAAATCCAAGCCATTTCATATCGTTATCAACATACAACATTGCATTCAAAATACAAGGACATCATGGTTAAATAATTACAACACAATCTTTAAAAGAAAATACATAAATATATAATACAGGCCTGATAGAAGGTCAGACACCTTTAAACTCAAATCAGTCGCGCAGTTCATAAATATTTTCTTGGAGATCACACTTTCTTGGTCTTAATAAAAATTGTCTATTCTAAGGTTTAATCTTTTTCCTAACACACTTATTATTCTCAATAATAATTCACACGCTAAAAATGTTCATGCATAATAATCACTAATAAAGTTATAGAACTTCTCAAAAATTGGTTTTCTTCATAATTCTTACCATGAAACTTTACTCAGGTAAAAATAAAAAATACATATGAGTTTTACATGTCCAAAAATCTGCTTTTACTTAAGAAAACATTATGGATTCGCCATCCTAAGCAAGAAAATCTGGAGTTCTAAGCCAAACCATGTAAATCAAAGTTAGGGTTTAGAATTAACTCCTCTTACCCAGAAATGGGTTTCTAAGACTTAGTTCTGCATGAGCTCTAGAGAGAAACTCCACGTTTTGACCAGAGATACTATCAAAAACTACAATTTTTCCTAATATCACAGAGTAGAGTACATATTATGAAAAGAGAGAACAAAGAAATAGGAGTGAGATGAAAGAGTTAAACTTTGAAATTTACTTAAATTCGAGTGGAATAGACGCTCGAGTTTAGATCTAAGAGAGATTCAAGGTTTGAGGAGGTTTTCTCTAAGAAGGGAAGAAGAGAGAACAGAGAAAGAGATGAGAATGGTTTATTGGTTTAAGATGTGTTTTTAGAAGGCCAAAATTACTTAAATACCCTTTTTTCTCGAGGATTCTCGCTTAAGCGAGGGTATTCTCGTTTGAGTGAGAAAACCAGACAAAAATTATCTTTTTGGTTGATATTTTCGCTTGAGCTAGAGTATTTTCGCTTGAAAGTATTTTCACTTGAGCAAAAACATGTCAGAGAGCTACCTATTTCTATAGCAAATTTTTGCTTGAGCGAGAGTACAGATGAAAAAATATGATTCATTCTCGTTTGAGTGAAAATTTTACTTGAGCTAAAAGGAATATTCTCTCTAAGTTTTTTATTTTAGAAAACTCTTCCTTTTGAAAACCAAAAAAATGCAAATGAAAAATTAGGGTGTTACAAAAGGTTGTTAACATTACATAACCATTAGGTGTTAATAAAATCAATATGAGTGGTTGACAATCATAAGAAAACCAGAATTAGAATTAGATTAAAAGTAAACATAAAGAAGTGAAAAGGTTAAATCATACGCTTTAAGCTCTTTTCTAATAATCTAATAGAAAGTCACGCTGATTATTTACTTTTAATTTTTTGTTGATTTGATTTGTTCTTAATTTAATTTCATTATACATCCCTTAAGTTCAAACAATTAAATTAAGATGTTTAATACTTGAAAAAAAAATCTTGTGAGATGATATTTTGAGAACTTATTTTAGAGTCCTTTTATTACTTTTCGACGGATATGCTTACCCACAAACATGATTCTTTCTTATTATCTTCAACTATTTCCTTTGCCTTTTTTACATATCTTCATACCTTATTAGAATCTACAAGTACTTCATATTTGACCTTCATATATTCAATAAATTTTCTATGCTAAAGTAATGATTGTTGTACATGCTTTTGAAAACTTCTCAACCACTCATGTTTGTGAGACTTATTGATTTTTTAAAGTCTTGCTACAATTATGATCATAATTAAATGTTTTGATTTTTTAGTTATGAATGACATTAATCCACACACAATAAACGTGTCACATATCATGTTTTCTCCTTACTCTAAATGAGTCATTTTTAACTCACTTAATATCCTTTCTAAGAAGAATTGTGTAATCTTTCGCTCCTTTTTAAATGTCTGCGATATCTTCAAAAGGTTCCACAATCTTCTCTTTACCTCTCCTTTCTTCCTTCCTACCATTTTCTCTTTACATTGACCTCATGGTTTTAATCTTGTTATTGCTTTTTTTTATCTCTTTTTCTTTTCTTTTTTTTTCTTATCCTTTTCCTTCTCATATAAACATCATTATTCAACTCTTGTATTTATTACTACACAAATATTCCTTGCACTCCTTGTGTTCCTTCCTATACTTGGGTTGTATTTATTACTATTCAAATATTCTTTGCACTCCTTGTGTTCCTTCCTATACGTGGATTGCTTAGTATACTTCTTTTTCTCGTCTTTTTCTATTAACTATTTCTTTTGTTACAATCCCTTCTTCATAATTCACTACCAATTTTTTTTTATCTACATTAGCTCTATTTAGTGTTGCAATTACTTTAATATGTGTTACTTCTTATGGTTCATAGATAGCATGCTCATAATACATGTGAATTTGACCATTATTATTTATAAAAGCATTTTTCATCTCAATAAGATCCTTATTTATTTTAAAGATCTTCAAACTTTTCTCTAAATCAGACTTAAGGTCTTTCTAATAAACATTTTTCGTATATTAATATTCATACTTTTTATAATATTTCAATATGCTTAAAAACACTAAATATATTAAGCTATACACTCACTTTATCTTTTTCTAAGTAACTTTACCATCATTATTTTTTTTAACAAAGTGACCTCTACATGTGAACAATTATCATCAATAATAAGGTAAATTTCAAACTCACAAACAATAACGAAAATAAATTATATGCAAGGAAAGCAAATAATGAAAAATAAAATTACAATTACCAAATAACAAATAATAAACTTAAAAAGAAGTCGAAATACATATATAACACAAACACCACACAATATTTCCTTTGAAATCCAACATTGGAGCAAACAAAACAATTAGAAAAAAGAGAGCATCAAAATTAAAGTTAATCACAGGTCATTCAATCATAAAGAGTGGATTTTTCTTTTCTATACTTGTTTAATAAGTTTTAAAAAATTTAATTGCAGATTAATTTCTCTTTCAATGATAAAATGCCATTATTTTCTGTTACCCAGATAGAAATAATTTATCTAGTAATATTCCAGCGTGGATTTAACATGCAAAATAGACACTTCCATTGGTGGATACTAACGATGATTGATGGCAAAAACTAACGTAAAAGGTGTTTGTGTAAATTAAGTTAGAAGCTAAAACAAAAGGAGTTAAAAACCAGAGTGACTATTTAATCATTTGCGAAGCAATAATTTATTGCCAATAAGTTCTAACCTAAGTGGATCCCGAAGCAGTAAAGTACTTTGAACAAGAAACTGATAGATCTAGACTATTTTTAAATTTCACTTTGTAGGCTTGCGCTGAAGCTCTAAATCAACCTTATAAGCTTTATTTATGGTGAAACTTAATAATGAGAGTCAAATGGATCTCGGATTTGAGAGCATGTTAAACTTCACATCTGATAGGTGTAACTCTATCTAACTAATTTTTTTTTCCATTTTACGCGTAACATGTCTTTAATAAAGGAACACCAAGAGGATATAATCGAAGTCAAACTCAATTACCAAATATTTAATATGTTAAATATATTTTTAAACCAGCTTGATTGTTGGATACATTTATTTACTTTAAGAAATATGTCTACTTCTAAATGATAGTATTGTGTGTCTCGTTATAATCGTATCATATTCGTATTTATATCAGATACTATTTAGACACTTTAAATACTTTTAGTAGCATTAATTTTATAATTTTTTACTTTTAGTTTTCAAACTTTTATGTCAATATTAATTGAAATATAATAAAAATTAAACAAGTTTTAGTTTTTTTTATTGTAATGACTCAATGTCACTTTTAAAACATGATTTCTCTTTTGTAATTTAAATTTTTTATTTTATGTAAATTAGTTTTATATATTACATTATATTCATGTAGTGTCGTATGAATTGTAAAATTTACTATGTCTCCATATTTTTATCATATCATATTTGTATCATGCATTATATTTATTAACTTTTCCTTGGTTGTTTATATTTTATGATTATTATTCTGTGACATAGTATTATAGTATTTATAAGTTAAAAAATTTAGGTGAAGTATCCCGTTGATATGATTTTTCAATTAAAATTAAAATTTTAATTTTATAATTTGTATAAAAAAATTAACATTAAATATTATCTTATCAATATTAATGATCAATACACATTATATAAAGATAAAACTTTAGAATTACACCTCAGTTTTGTATTATTTATAATCATACGATATATATATATATATATATATATATATACTCTATGTAATTACAAAATAATTGTTCAGAATATTAACATGTAAGAATAATAATTAACGTTATTAAACTAATCTTGTGCAAAACAAAGTGATATATAGAATTTGGTGCAATAACACAAATTAAAGATGTAATAGTATATATATATATATATATATATATATATATATATATATATATTGCAAAATAAAGGTTAAATTTCGGCACTAAAATTGGATAAATATGTACATGTGTTTCTTGGAGGGCATGTTGAATATATATAACAAAAAACTAGCTATGCGTCTTATGACAGTGATGCCAACTTGTAAAGACTAACTACAAAATGGTATCATACAAATATTGTAGTATACAAGCTATTTACATGAAATTAAGCAACGGGAAGGAAGCCAGAATACCCACGAAACGGCACATTAATTACTTCTTCTATCTTGACTTAGGTTGATTTTAGCTCGTCCAAGTTATACAATTTCTACAAAACAAATATACATATATATGTAAGTACAAAATAGGAATTTCATGACCAATTCATGTTATATTAGGAAGCAGGAAATGAAGCTTACTAGAATACAGTGGATATCCTCAAGAAAAGGCACAAACAAAGAAACCAACATCTGCATTTTCTCTTTCAGGGTGTCATAGTTTTCATCTTCGGTCTTAAGTAGATCGATGAAAATTTTACTTTCGGGTACTAGTTTTAGAGCCACCTGCAATTACATTTCTGTTAGTTAACAAATATTGAAAACGTACAAATGTAGATGTTGTGGTCACTTTGCTATATTATGCAAGTTTTTTTTAAGTACGCATACTCATATGAGGTCATGAATATGGTGAAAAAGTACGCATCATAAAACAAGCTGAGCGGAAACATATAGGTTAATTACCCTGCAAATCAATCAAGAAGCATATAATTGATTACAAACATGTAAGAAAAGTAAAAGTGGTGTTTACTCTGAAAGCAGCTGATGAAATCCATCGATGCCATGGTTTTAAAGTAGCATCATAAGTCTCTTCAACTACTTGCTCCATTTTCTTTTCAGGATCTTTTGCAAGTGTTTGTAATAATAATGAAGTGAAATCAAGGGTCCTGTAAGGTAGCAAAGGAAAGCAAATTTTGTCGTGTGGAATTTCTATAAATAGCAAAGTATATATTATGTAAATATCTTCTGTTTTTCACCTAGTGAGCCAAACAAAGGCCTTACTGCAGCTAGACCCTTTTTTGGCATTGCCTTCTCTTGCTTCTGATTTCAAAATCTCAACCAAATTCGAATTCAATGATGGATCTGATTCATGCATGAGTTCCAATCTCTGCAATGAAACATTAATCAATATACAAACTAATTAATAATTGGTAGGTAACTGATGATCAGCAATGTGTAAACATAATTAATATACCATATATATCTACAGCTCTGCCTTGGGTTTTGCTTTACCTTAATATTCTGGTAAACGTCTAGTCTCAAAACAGCCATAGTTGGTCCTATCTTATCTGCTAGACTCATAATGACAATGTTTTAGGTGTCACATCACATTCACATTTGAACATAAAGAGATATCAAATTATCAGTAAACCCACCAAGAACTTGTAGAACCAGGTAACAAACAGAGAGGAAAGGCTTGGTGGGGATGAAGGAAGACTCATGATTTTCACCAGGTTTAACTATAACCATCATAGAAAGCTCTTCAATGCAAAAACTTATCTCTGACCTCTTCTCCATGTCTCTCTTATTGCTCTTCATTTTAGTTTCCTTCTTTCTCCCCTCTTCCTGTTCTCTGATATTTATATATGTCTGGGGTTGCAAACTAGTACAAAGATGTAGGCAAAGAAGAAAATTTAAAATTTTGATCAAGTTGTTTCTTGAAGGAATGAGTCTTGCAAGCCCAATTATTGTATTGCTCTACGAATCCAGCAACATAACTTCTCTGGCTTGAACTCTATTTTTTTTATCTTTATTTATTTTGTTTCGCTAGAAATAATCTTGGGCTATCAATTTCCTCCGTAAATTATTGATGGTGACCTTATGTTTGACCTTCGAGAGTTATCATCTATCCTCCAAATGTTTATGAAACATTATCAGAATAAATAAAACACATGTCGGTCCCATGCCTGAAATTGACAAGGCTAAAGAATCAATAGCACTAATCGTTTGCTTTCGTTAGTTAATGCTACGCTATTAGAATTTACATATGTTGGGACATCAACTTTGGGGCCTTGTGTGTAGAAATGGAAACAAGAAGATATGTTCCAAATAACTGGGTATGATGTGCCACTCTATTGGCCTAAGGCAAGGGTGAATTGATCACTAGTGTGATTACAAGAAAAGATTAAGGCATTTTTTTATTTTTTATGAGAAGGGTTTTATTATTAACCTTTTAAATAATTAAAGAAAGAGAGTTTTTTTAAACGTTTAAAATTTTAGTCTTTTTTTTTTTTAGTTTTTCGAATTTTAGTAATTGATGTAATAAAGTTTTTCAGATATATTTTATTGTTAGATTAAATATTCAACATAATTTAAAGTTAGAATAAAAAATAATAATTTAAAGTGATAATTTTTTTTAAAATTATAAAAAAATAATATAAAAATATAATATTATTATTTATATATTAAACCATTTATACCCTTTTATTTCAATATTAAATATAAAAAAATTAGCTATCCTTCCTCTCCCTATTTCTTTCAGCATTTTAAATTCTTTCCTTTTCCCGCTTCCTCTAAATTCTCAAACAACCTAAAGATGACGCAATGCATTGCGCTAGTGCATGAGTGGATTTATACTATCAGAGCACTCGGTTGTGGATGCGTTAGGATATACTTTTATGATACGTTAATATATATAAAGACACACACACATTATGTCCAATTTTTAGTGATATAAATAATGGAACGATTGTAACTGGTCTTAATTTTGAAGTTTTAGACATCTCTACAGGTATGTTGCGATGTAGTTATGGTTGCATCTACGGGTAAAAATAGGTTAGAACATTTGTGGGGGCTTATGGCTTAGTTTATATTGGTTTAGGACTTGCAATGCCTTGTTTAGCTTGGTCCATGCCATGTTTATCTACAACTAATGAGTTTTTCCGTACACTGTGCATGTATTATTTAGATTAAAAATAAATATTTTTTAAATATAAAAAACACTGTATGACTATTTTTAAATTTTCAGATAATATAAATTTCAAAAAATATTTTTTTATTAATAATAAGAATTATATTATATTATATGTGATAAATGAAAGAGACAATTTTTTAAAGTTAAAAGAATTTATGAAACATTTATAATTCAAAGTAAAATTAAGTTAACAATATTTAAATGTTAAGTGTAAGAAAAGCTAGATAACATAATGAAAATGATAATACCTCTCAAAAATATTTTTATTCAAGATAAAACTTACAATACTCTTGTTCAAAAATAAGATCTCCTATAAAAGGAGATTTTACACCATAAAAATTTTATAGAGTATAAGAAAAGCTAGATAACATAGTGAAGAAGAAAATACCTTCCAAAAACCAGTTTTATTTAAAATAACTCTCTTATTCAGAAATAAAAACTCCTATTTAATATATAAAAGTAGATTTATATCATAAAAGTTTTAAAAATTTTGCAAGTATAAAAGTAACTGTAATTTAAAATTGAAATGCGCCATTTTATTAAGGTTAAAAATAAAAATAAAAGAAAATTGTTAAACAGTGTTTGAGATTAGAGATAGTAAAAAACTTGCATTCACGAGTAATATCTATCGCAGGTTAGTTTTGAAATGAGTTTTCTAGTACTCATTTATATATAAAATTATAAAATTACTCATTATATATAAATAAAAAACAATATAACTCTAACATAAATAATTCTAATGTTACGTTTTATTAATCTTTTAGTATTATGTAAATTGTTTAATTTTTCTTTTCAATGTTACGTGGATGGTTAATGATAATTTTTTAAAATTTTTAGTAATTTTTATTTTAAATAAAAAATCATAAAAATCTATGGATACTTATGAGTACTCATTTAACCTAATGAGTGACAGCACAAGTATTGAGGTAAGTTTTTATGCCCAAGATAAATGTAAATATTTATTATTAGTATCCATTTTGCCGGCTAATTAACATCCCTAACTTCTCTAACTGAGACTCCTTTCCCTCATTTTTTATTTCTCTCAAGTAATGTTTGGATGATGTCCCTCGACACTAAGGAGACAATGAAGGATAAAGACACAGTGAGTAGTGTCTATGTATTGTGTTTGGATTTGAATACAAAACATTGTATATTGTGTCTTGTATTATATTTGGTTCTATGTACATAGACACAAAATTGTTTGAAATGTCTTAAATGTCCATTCGAGTCGAAAACTCCATTGCGGCTATCATTCCTACCAGCATAGAGTCCCTAAACCAGGACAAAATTGGTGCTCTCATGGTTAATAGTCACGCATGGGAACATCGGTGAGGTCATGTCTTGCTCATAGGCACTAATAGAAGGTAATTTCACAATATCTTGCAAAACATTTTGAAACAACGGAGATGAAGAAGAAGAAGGATTATGCGACCCACCTAATTGCTTATGAATTTTTCTACAACCCATTTCATCAGATGCATTGCTAAACTGTATGTTAAGTCTATTGTAACCAGCCACATTGTTGTGCTCAGAAACCAAAAAAAAGTTAGCAATCACATTGCTTCCCTTGACAAAAGAACTGCTCACATAATTTACAAACCAATCAGAACCTTAATGGGAGGCATTGTTCCTCCAATTTCCAAAATCATGAAGCTCACACTTTTCTTTTTGGGAAGAATGAATAGCAGACATGGAATGGGGAAATTCATCAAAAGGTTGTGCTACACTTAGGCTGCGTTGGAAACGGAAGCCGCAATGGTTGTGTGTGAGGAAGAATGAGAAGATAATTTAAGGTTAAGGATAGAAGTTGTCATTTTTAATAAAATATGAGGGCATTTTCGTCACACAAAAATTAAGTTCCATGTCTCTAAACCAGAGACACCAGTGTCTCTTCTTCCACGAAGTACACTTGTGTCCTTCATTTTTGTGTCCCTAGTGCGTCTCTGTATCTCTGTCTCATCATTGAGATACTAACCAAACAAAGGACGTGTACCTTCATGTCTTTGTTTCTGTATCTCTGTCCCTCAACCAAACACTACCTCAATGTCCCTCTTCCTCATTTTCAATTTTTTTTTTCTTTTTGCGCTTCCCTCCACACATCTCCTATTCCAATACCTCTTTCTCCCTCTCTTTCTCTTATTTCTTATACAAGCATCAATGTCTTTGTTTTTATTTGTTCTTTTGAGATTCTAAAAAAACTTTGTAACCTAATTATTTTCCTCTTTTACATCAATAACTTTAGTGAAATTTTGTAGTTAGGAATATTACTCTAAGAAGGAAAGGACATCACTCATTATAGAAAAAAAAAAATTATTTTAGTACATAAAGTATACTCAAAAGTCAAACATGAGAATATTAGTTCTTTACAAGTCTCAATTTTTTGAATATATAGAATATATATATATATATATATATTAGAGTTGTAAGTATAAATTTAAAGATTTTATTTTTTAAATTTAATTTTAAATCTCTATTAAATATTATTGGTATTCAAATTCATGGAGTTGAACATTTTTTACTAGAGTAATTTTGGAAATGACATAATTGGTTCTTCACTATTGATGAGTGGATAATAATGATAATAATATTTTATAATTATTATTTTAATTATTTATCATATATTATTGCCTAAGAAATTATGTACATAGGGAAATAAGTCTTAAATATATTGTTTAGTCATATGAAAGTTTATTGTGATACTATTGTGCTCATTTGCATGAATTTTATTTGTAAAGTGTGGAAGAAGTAATCATTTTAATTTTATTATATGATAAATAAGTATGAGATGTTTGCATTGAGACTTTTGGTATTAAGAATAAATTTTGGTTGTGTATTAAAATGATTTTCTATGACGTAATTTTTTTTTGGAGAAGTTATGGTAGAACCTTTCAAATGTTAGCAAAAAAATAATTTAGGTGCCCCTAACTATACTTTGGGAGGAGAGAGTGGAGTTATGTATGTTAATATTAACTTTGACATGATGTAAGTAATGAAAGGCCACTCTTAGAAAAAGAAGACTATTATCGAGGTGGAGTTGTCTTAAATTAATTTTATTTTTCTATGAGTGACCCTTACAATATTATATATATATTTGCTTTTAATATTTTAAAAAATTATTATTATTTAATTTTTATGTATATGTGTACTTTATTATAGTAATTATGATTAAAATAATATTTTTATTTAACAATTAAATTTGTGAACTTTTGATTCTGACCATAAAATTTTGAAAGAACAGATAGAATAAATTTCTTTAAAATAAAGTGTTAAAAGTAAGTTTTATAATTGTAAACTACTCATGCGTTTATATGTTTCCTTTTTTTATTTATCATAATTATATATTATATCTTCATTGAGTTTGTGTGACTCACTTCTTATTTATTTATTATTTTTATTTCATTAAATAACAAAGTTGCAAGCTATTAGAAATATCATGTTATCCCAATAGACCTTCATTATTTAGTAGCTATATTTCTTTTACCTTTGTTATATTTTTGACCTTCTACAATGGTTAAAGAATTAGGTGTTATATTAGTTGTGAAACAGATGTTTTATTATTGATACTATAAAAATTTTAAATTTCATTATTTGGACGTGGTTGAATTATAAATTAATTTAGATATGT